ACTTGCTGGGGCTTTGCCCAGAAAATGTATTTATTCCCAGCCCTTCTTGGTTTTGATAGTATGTTAAATATTTCTCAAAAGTACCTGATGTGATTGGATTAGGCATGAAGTATTTGAAGTGCTATTGCAACAGACATTTCACTTCCCCTATTTTTGTCTTGCATTGATTACTGGGTTTTTTTATGAGTTCCTGATAGTCTGACCTGCACTGGCATTTGGTTTCTGAATTTTCACATACATTAAAAGCAAGTTAAGAAGTCCTTCATTTACCCACCTGTGCTCATGACAAACTTGCCAGTTGGGCTCACCAAGCTACTGTGTGCCGAGGTGCCACTAGAGAAGGAACCCTCATGTTCTTAGGCTTGCTGTCCTGGACAGGTTGGGTGTCTCTAGACACATGAAGGCCCTTTGGTTTCTGCTCGGTCTTGAAATGTTCTGAGCAGATCTGCCTACACTCACTTTCTTGATAGCACTAAAAAAGGCTGGGAAAGACAGAAGTCCCTAGCAGCTGGAGGCTTCAGAGCTTAAGGACACTCTGGATATATTTTGCCAGTAGAACAGATGTTTTGTCCCAGTAGCTATGACCTTGCAATCAGGTGTGTGTGAGCAGAACCTCTGACTGTTGTAGAGTCATGCAGAACTTGGTGTTGGTGGTGGAGATGCACACTCTGCCAGCTGGACTGCCTGTCTGGGGCCTGTGTGCTGAGCTCATGCCTGTGGTCAGCAGTGGGTCAGTTAGAGGGGATGTAGTGATGTGTTTTCAGGAATATTTCTGTTGTGTTTTGGATCTTGCACCTACTTTAAGTCATGAGTTTTCTGTTAAGGCACTTGCCAAGATCGTAATTGTAACCCTGCCAGTTGCAGGGGGCAAACAGAGCAGCCAAGGTGGTAATTTCAAGAGGGCAGTTTGTAAGAAGAGACATTTGTATCAGAGTCTTGACTATGTGTAATGAGGGTGATTAATTTTCTTTGCAGAAACATTATCAGAAGGCCTGGGACGAGGCCAAGGCGAAAAGCTATGACCTAAGAGCTGATGCCATTTCCATCAAACAAGCCAAGGCTTCCAGAGACATTGCCAGTGAGGTACAGTCTCAGTGTGGGGGTTGTGTCTGCCTCTTCCCGTGTCCAGCTCAGCAGAGCGGAGTGAAGTTCAGCTCAACAGCTTGACAGCTGAGAGAGCTGAAACCTCTTGTTCATCACTCACATCCAGGTGAGCAATGCACAACTGCTAATGGTATCTCTGCATTTCTAGTACAAGTACAAGGAGACCCATGAGAAGCAGAAGGGGCACTACATCGGGTGTCCCAGCGCCAAGGACGACCCCAAGCTGGTGTTGGCCGCGCGCGCCATGGCGCTGCAGAACGACCGCCTGTACAAGAAGGCCTACAACGACTCCAAGACCCAGATCCACATCCCAGCGGATGCCCTGTCCGTGCAGGCAGCCAAGGAGTGCCAGACCCTGGTCAGTGACACTGACTACCGCCAGTACATCCACCAGTGGACGTGCCATCCTGACCAGAACGACGTGATCCACGCGCGGCAGGCCTACGACCTGCAGAGCGATGTGAGTGAGAGCAGCTGTAGAGATGTGGAAGTTTTGGCAATTCAGGTTTCCCAGTATACTTATTACTCCCAGATATCTATGGAAATACTTTCAGTCTGGCTGATAAATCCCATATGGACTTGTAACTAGATTAGATCTGAAGGTATCGGTCCTATAGAGGGTGTGATGGAGGCAAATCCTTAGTGCTCTCCTATACCTGATGCCAAGTTGTATTACTTTGCTCATAAAGAGCAAATATTTATTCCTAATATGATGTTAGTGACATTAAAAGATACAGTAAAAATATCTTCATATGGGCAATGCAATTTTGGCATGAAAATGTGGCTAGGTATATATTGCAGCCTTATTCTGCTGGTTTGATATTATACAGTCACAACAGATTAATCTTTATACTGTTTTTATTACCTCTATTATCTGCTGGTTTTGACCTTTAAAAAACATCGGGTTTACCTCTGAATTTTATCAGACTTTGGTTGGTATCTGCTCTGTTACATAAGTTTTTAGAGTGGTTTGGAGAGGGTGAAGGATTTCTCTCTGCTGCTTTGATGAGCCTTACAAGTAGCAGCTGTTTGCTGCCTTGGCTCCAGGTGGCTTTAATTCCTCCTCTTAAGTCAGCTTGGAGAGCCATTTACTTGGAAGAAAACCATGTAAGACAGCAGATGAGATGGTTTGGTGGCTGGTTGAGGAGGAGGAGTCAATGCAGCTATTTTTCTGACTCACTTTTGCTGCTTCTAGCGATAACACCAGTCACTGTTTCAAGCTTCAGAGGTGAAACTTGTGTTCTTTGCTTTTTATCAGATGTTTAATGGGCAGCTTGGTTTCTGTTTGGACTTGTAAATTGTTGAATGACTAGAGGAATAAGTATTTTGAAGGGGACAGGAAGATTCTTGCAAGATTTTACTATTCCTCACCATTAACTGCAGTTCCTTTCAGTTGTTTCACCTCTATTTAACTTTGCAGGGCTTAAAACATGTTGTTTAAGAAATGAGCTAGTTAAAACCTGGTTCACAGATTGTATTTTACTTGCAGCACTGAACCTGTCTTGTATATAAAAAGGGTTAATTAAGGCAATCATTTTAAACACCATGTTTTCCTTCTCTGACCCTGTCTGCTACAGGCTGTGTACAAGTCAGACCTCGAGTGGCTCCGTGGAATTGGCTGGTTGCCTAACGAGTCTCCAGAAATTAAGAGAGTGAAGAATGCTCAGGATCTGCTGAGTAACAACGTGTATCGTACCCCCATCGACAGCCTCAAGTACACCAGCGTGGTGGATTCTCCAGACCTGGTCCTTGCTAAAACAAACGCTGAGCAGATCAGCATTGTATGCTGCAACTTTGTTCCTGTGGTTGCTGGGGTTGGGTTGCTGTAGTTGTAGTTGTAGTTGTTTCCAGACTATAAACAGTTAAAGGGAAATCTCACTGCTCAAATATTAAGTTGATCAGTGCTGTTTGAAGTATAATGATTTCCCAAACATTTTGTCCTTTAGAGCTGTTAATTCAGCAGAGATTTGTGGCATTTTATGTTACTGAGAAGTGAAATTCTGTAATTAGAATATCAAGAAATGCACTGTTTTAACAGCCAAAATACAAAGAAGCCTGGGAAAAGGACAAGACTATGATCCACATTATGCCAGACACACCTGAAATCAACTTGGCCAAGGCTAATGCTGTTAATTACAGCCAGGTATGCTTTTTGCCTATGTTTCCATAAAACATGTGTATCTTGTGAATATTGCCATTCTAAGGTGTTGCTTCCAAAGTTGAAGGTTCAGTCACATGAATATCACTGAATTCTGTCCTCATACAGGGCTTGGAACCTTCCTTTCCCTCTACTGAATATCCTTGTTTAGCCATTTTAAAATCAATGCTGCTTAAACATTATTAAAGTCATGCAAGTAATGTTGTATCAGAAAGTATCATTGGGGTAATATTTTGTTGGAATAGATGAGAGCCCAGGGCATATAAATCTTTTCTAAGCTTGTACGAACACCCCTCTGTGCTTTACAGGCTGCAAAAGTGGTGGTGTATGTGTCAGGGCAGGAAAATTGGCAGCAGAATTTATGGCCAGGAGCAGGAGTAATGTACAAAAAGTAGTCATGGTATTGCAGGAAATTCTGTTTATTTAATGACAAATCACAGAATCATTAAGGTTGGAAAAGATCTCTGAGATCATCAAGTCCAACCTAGGACCCAACACCACTGTGTCAACTAGACCTTGGCACGAAGTGCCATGTTCAGTCTCTCCTTAGACAGCTCCAGGGATGGTGACTCTACCACCTCCCTGGGCAGCACATTGCAATGCCTGACCTTCCTGTAAAGAAATTCTTCCTAATACCCAACCTATGTCAGAGAATTTAGCACATGAGTGACATTTTTCTGTCTTCTCAGAAACTATACAAAGGAGCTTGGGATGAGCTGAAGACGAGCTGTGATTTGAGAGCAGATGCAATCCCCATCAAGACAGCCAAAGCTTCTAGAGAGATTGCTAGTGAGGTAAGTGCCAAAAGAGGCCTCCAGCCCTTCCTATGTTTCCAGGCCTATTTTGTGCTGTTAGTAATGGTTCCCTTTGCTCTTTGCCCAGTACAAGTACAAGCTGGAGCACGAGAAGCAGAAGGGACATTACGTTGGAGTTCCAAATGCAAAAGCAGATGCCAAAATCCGCTTTGCCCTCGACGTAGCCAAGGTTCAGAGTGAAAGGGAATACAAGAAACACTTTGCCAAGTGGAAGACCCAGTGCCACCTCCCAGTAGACATGGTGTCCATCGTGTCAGCCAAGCAGGGGCAGGCTCTGGTCAGCAATGCCGATTACCGTCACTACCTGCATCAGTGGATCTGCCTTCCTGACCAGAACGATGTCATACATGCTAGACAAGCCTATGACCTTCAGAGTGATGTAAGTGGAGGTGAAAACATCCCTTAACTTACTGCTATCTTGTCCCTTCTTAGTCTGCTTCGGCTCTGAGTAGTGGGAATCTGCTGAACTCAGGGAACTGGCTTTGCTCTGTTAGGAATGCAAAGTATAAGCCACTTATACATTGCCAGGGTTTGAAGGGTGATAAATTCAGACCTAGTGCTCACGTGGGAAGTACCTCTTTTCTTTTCACCACTGTCAGTGGGTGCCATTTTTTGTGAATCTTGCTGGATGGTACAGGGAACTGTGGCTAACAGCATGGACCCTATTTTGTTTCCCCAGGCTGTTTACAAAGCTGATTTGGAATGGCTGCGGGGAATTGGATGGTTGCCCAACGACTCCATTGCACTCAAGCATGTCAAGTATGCTGGAGATGTCCTGAGTGAGGTAACAACCTGTTTCAATGCTAAAATTTTCCTAAGGGTGTTTGTCACTCGAAAGCGGTTTGAATGGTTAAAGACATTAATTTTGTTTCCAAATGAGAGATAAAACTGTAGTGTGTCCACATTATTCACTGTGTATGGAGAGGGTTTTGTTCCATGTACAATTCCTTGTCTTGTGTCTGTGTTCAGGATTGTTGGCTGTAAAATATTCCAGTGGCATCTGACTGTTCCTCTTTCCTCTTGCACAGAGAAAGTACCGCACGAAAGCTGAAGCTGTTCCCTTCACTCCCGTAGCAGACAGGGTGGATTATGTCACAGCAAAGAACAGTGGTGAAATTCTCAGTGATGTAAGTTTGCTCACAGGTTCCTGGGCTACATTTGACTTCTGTGATTCTGTAGTTAATGTGCTTTGTCTAACAGCCTTGCAAATTCAGGGGGGTTTACGTTATTTCATGCATAAAATAGGAATCTTGGTACGACGTTTTCCCAATTCTGTGATGGTGCTACAAGGCAGGAATTTTTCTCTCTTCTAGATTAAATACCACAAGGCATGGAATGAGGTCAAGTCAAATTACACTCTAACAGACACACCACAGCTGGACATGGCCCGAGAGGCAGCCAGAATCCTCAATCAGGTATGCGAGTTCTCCTTGGCAGGTTCTCCTCCCATTAGTAACTCTTCAGAGGTATCTAGAAAACTTTCCTTGTTAAGAACTACCTAAAGGGAGGAACTGTTATCCTTATACTTTAGTATAGGTTATGTATATTGTAGAGTGGTTTGGGTTGGGAAGGACCTTAAAGCTCATCCCATCCCACCCTCTGCCCTGGGCAGGGACACCTTCCACCAGCCCAGGGTGCTCCAACTCCATCCAACCTGGCCTTGAAACAGATGTCTATGGTAATAGTTGTCATTATAGTCATGTTGAGTTCATCCTCGCTTTTATTTTCCACAGAGTCTATACAAGGAAAGTTGGGAGAAAGAAAAAGCCACTGGTTACCTCCTACCTCCTGACACTGTGCAGATCTCTCATGCCAAGCACTCGACTGATGTTCAAAGTGAGGTAATGATCTTTCTCATTAGGAAGACAAGTGCTTGGAAGCCTGAAATGGTTAAGGCATTGAGAATTCAACCACAGACTTAGAAAGCTTCTCATTTGGGGTAACATCCAGATTTTCCATGAAGTCCACTGTCCTCCAAACCAGTCAGCCCATGTGTGTGCTCTGGGTTTTCAGTGCTGGAAGGTCAGATTCTCCTTTCCACATTCACTTCCTCCAGAAACAGCCAGATTCAACTGAACTGAAATTCCATGTTTTATGAGTGTTAAATAACTGAAGAGATATTATGGTTATAATATATGGCTCTGATTTCACTTTTTGGCATGTTATGAAGGTTTCCTCCTTGAAAACCAGTAGGATGAGTGCACACACATTTTAAACTTTGGATGTTGAAGTTATTACATGGCTCTTACGTGGAATGTACATTTTGTCAAAGCAGTGTGATGTCAACAGCTTAAGCAATCCTCTCTTCAGACAGACTGAAAGGATGTGTTGCCAAAATGAGACTAAATGCTCTTATTAGCAAACATTTCCTCTCGTGTTGGAAATGTTGACTGAGAAATGGTAGCATTTGAGTCTAGAAAATTATGTGTTTTGAAGTGGAAGGGCCTATATGAAGTAACATTGCTGTTTATCTCATTTTGATCTGGTCATGTTCTGAGAACCTAAGGTTGCATTTGACAACTCTCACCTGCTGTGTGTGTGTGTCTCCCCTGCTCTCTGTGTTGACAAACCCACAGCTGTTCCCAGGTTAAAACCAGAGTGGATCTAATCAGTACTGATTATATCCATCTCTCTTCCTTCTTCCCTCAGCTCAAATACAAAGCTGAATATGTCAAGCAGAGAGGTCACTACGTTGGGGTGGCCAAGATGAGAGATGACCCCAAGCTGGTGTGGTACGAGCACGCGGGCGAGATCCAGAATGACAGGTTGTACAAGTCAGACTACAACAAAACCAAGTCCAAAATTCACATCCCTCCTGATGCCATGGCAGTTGTGGCAGCAAAAGACTGCCAGAACCTGGTCAGTGACGTTGACTACCGCCAATACCTGCGAGAGTGGACGTGCCATCCTGACCAGAATGACTGCATCCAGGCAAGGAAGGCCTATGACTTGCAAAGTGATGTAAGTACCACATCATTTCCACTCAGTTGGGCCTAAGGATGTTGTCTGTAATACATAAGTCAGCCTAGATTAACTAATTTCCTTCCTTTTTCATTATCTTTGTGATTCAGAATGTCTATAAAGCTGATTTGGAATGGCTTCGTGGCTGTGGTTGGATCCCTCTGGATTCAGTGGAGCATAAGAAAGTGAAGAATGCACAAGAACTGATAAATAAGGTAAGGGGAAATCATAGAGCCCTTACATGATTAACTCTTCTCTCTCATGCAGTGTTTAAGTTACTCTTTCCTCTTTTTGCAGAGAGCATATACCAAAGAAGCCCTTGAGAACTTCTCCAAATACACCAGTGTGGTGGACACTCCTGACATCGTCTTGGCCAAGATGAACTCTGTCAATCAGAGTGATGTATGTACCTTTCTTCTGATTAGACACTTATATACAAGGATTAGTAGATGACTTAACTGCTTTTGCCAAACTACTCTGTGTTTAACCTTGCACATGTTTGTGTGTACACTAACAAGAGGTTTTCCTGGGGTGAATAAGCTTAGTAAGGAGGGATATAAAGGAACAACATAATATTGGCATCAAAATAATTTAGTGTTTCTCTGCAGAAGAATATAGCATGTCCCTGACTTAGAGTTTGTGAAAGCTGAGTCCTGTTCTTGGTGATCAGCAGTGAGTGGAGTTCCTAGTGCTGCTACTGAACTGTATTTGCTGAGTAGGATGTTTAATTCCATTAGAATACTCTGTGGGTTTTGTGCTGGGACATACTGGTGACATCTGCTGTGTACTACAGTGATTGGAATGTGCTGCACAACATGAATATGTGATAACATGAGAGGAAAACCATGTCAGCTTCTCACAGTTGGACTCATGGGGGTAATTGATTTCCCCTGTGGGATTAACACTGAGTTTGTTTTCTTTTGCAGCTGAAATACAAAGAGACGTTTAACCTTGAGAAAGGGCAGTACATTGGGTCTGATGATACTCCTGCACTGCACCATGCCAAGGACATGTCCTTACTGCACAGTGAGGTAGGAGTCCAGAAATCCCTACCTAAGCTTTGATGTCTTTGTTTGGAGAGCAGCAGAATATGGATTGGACTTGAGAAAACTGTTCAGTTTCTGTCAGTAGTCTACTGAGTGGCACTGGGAAACTGATTTAATCTATTTTTCTTCATTTTTTCCCCTCTTTCGAGCACTGGGATAAGGTTAATTTCTTTCCTTTATGGAACTAATCTTAGTGTGGTGTTTGGAAGTTGTAGTAGTAATAGCAGAGTTTGTGTGGAAAAAACTGCAATAGTTTCATCCAATATCATCTTCCTCTTGAACTCTGTCAGGCTTGGGGCTGTGCTGAGTCAGGTTCCTTGGAAGGCATAACTGATTTTTTATCGAAACTCCTGTGTTTTGTTTGTCTAGAAACTTTACAAAAAGGCTTGGGAAATGAGCAAACCCATTGGGTACACTCTGGATGAGAAGTACATTCCCCTGGTGGGAGCAAAGCACGCGAACCACATCAACAGTGAGGTCAGTGCCAGCATTCCATTCCCTCTCCTGTTTTTCCCCATGTTGTCAGAATGAACATTAAAACTTCCACGTGAATATTTTCCAGCGTAAATACAAGGAAATCTACGAGAAGCTGAAGGGTCACTACCTGGCTGGGAAGGACATTGGTGACTTCCCCAGTGTCATTCACTCCCTGGAATTCCAGAAAATGAGGAGCGCGGTAAGGAGGGAATTTCTCTTCCTGGAGTGGTTTCCATTTCCTTTATTTAACTGGGGCCCATTTTAGGAGGAATTAAGCAAAAGTACTTAATAGAGGTATAGAGTCATTAAGGTTGGAAAGGACATCTAAGCTCATCAAGTCCAACCTTAACATCAACCCCCAATAACAAAAGTAAAAGTGATTTCAGCATGTTTATATTTCCTGAGTGGTTATTGGATCCATGGGCTGGATAATTGAGCTGGAAATGATTTAGGAGATTAAGAAGGGATTTGGTTAGCTATTGGATATATTAGACTAGGGAGAACATATCCTTTTCTATCTCAGTTTAAGAACCTGAGCAGTAACAAATAGCACTTGGGATCCTTCTGCTTTAGAAAAAAAGTGTTGATTTGTAAGTTGAAATAGGAGATTTGCACTTAGGTTCCCACTTAGACTCAGATGAAAACCATGTTTGTTAGCATGTGACTTTCGCTATCTTGAAGCCTTGTAAGTTTTCTTATCATCTGTTAAAACTGCAAATGAGGGTTATTCTTGTCCTTCCAAAACCTCAGAAGAAAGAAATGGTGATCAGTATCAAAGTCAAGGTTTCATCCTGTTGAATCCCAGGAGAGGTTTGCTACTAAATGCAAAAAGCATCTCCTAGGTCATGCTGTAACCTGAGGCCTATTAGAGTCAAAATTCTGCAGAAAATCATGATTATCTCCTCTCACCTTGTCTCCAATCTTTCCTTTCTAGTTGGCCTACAGAAAGAATTATGAAGACAGCAAGACAAATGTCCATATTCCAACTGACATGATGAACCATGTGCTGGCCAAGAAGTGCCAACACATCCTGAGTGACCTTGAGTACAGAAATTACTTCCACCAGTGGAACTGTTCCGCTGAAGAAAATGATGTTATCCATGCCAGGAAAGCCCAGGAAATCTTGAGTGATGTATGTTATCCATTGGTTTGTTTGACATTATAGTAGCATGTCATGGATTTTTTTTTCCCAAGGTATTTAAATATCTTCTGAAGCATTTAATTAGGGAATTAATGACTGTCACCTTGGATTGCTTAGTAGCAGAGAACTGATTGCTGCAGTGGATTATAACTGGGAATGCTGTAATTAGCACAGGGGCCAGGACAGCATCCAATCTCCTGCTGGATCCAGTGGGGCTGGAAAAGACTTGTTGTTTGTTTGGAGTTCTATCAGCCCACAGGGGCTGAGCTGAGGGAATGGTGCACTGAGCCATGGCACTTCTGCTTGTTTCCTAGTCAACAGTATCCTAGGTTGGGCCAACCAACCTTCCCTTTGGAAGCTGATGATGAGTGAATTGCCTGTTGCTATCCTGAGTTCTTTGGTTTAGTTCCCCTTGCAGATCCTGTGGGTCAAACTCTTTCAGCAGACCAAGAGATGAGCTGCTTTTCCCTGTACTCATGTGTAAAATTCCAGATTGACTGGAGTTACTGAACGTGGCTGGTTCAGACTCAGTGCTGACCTTCTGCAGTGAATTTGCACAAGTCAAAGACACTGAATATAGTGAAGAAACAAACTCTGTTTATTTGTCACAGAATCCCAGGCTGGTTGGGGTGGGAGGGGACCTGTGGAGATCACCTAGTCCACCCTCTTTGCCAGAGCAGGTTGCAGGTTGCAGTACTCTATCACCCTGGGCAATATTCTGCTGGATAATACTGGTTTTCTCCTTAGTTTTCTTCAAGCAGAAGGCAAATTTCTTCCTAACCTTGCTCTCTTTACTTCTTTGTAGGCAGTGTATAAAGATGACTTAAACTGGCTGAAGGGACTTGGGTGTTATGTCTGGGATACTCCACAAATCCTACAGGCTAAAAGATCATATGATCTCCAGAGCCAAGTAAGTGTGTTTTCCTCAAGTAAGTTAATATTTATAAGCATTTTTTTCCTTCCACTCATGATTCACTGGGACTGACACCTGTCCTAGTCCAGAGCAGAGTGAGGTTATTCCTGGTACCTCAGAAATGCTTTGTTAAATCTATGATAACACAGTCCGAGTTTCATCTGTAGAGGCATCACTTGTGTGACCGAAGGGGCAGAAAGCTTAGGAGAATGGAAAAGGAACAGTTAGGTTAGGAGAATGGAGAGGGAGCAGAAAGCTCAGGAGAATGGAGAGGGAGCAAGGCTGTGGATTTTAACAATGAGAAGACACCACTTTTCTTTCTATATGTCACCCTGTGCACAGGATACCTCAGGGAGACATATGTGCTGGGAAAATAGTGTCTCTTGCCTTGCTGGTTGTGCTCTTAATGTTCATTATTCCTTACTGGCTTTGTTATCCCTTAAGTGTTTCTTTTCTCTGACCTGTCACTTTTAGAGCTGATCTTAGCTGAGGTGTAATCCCAGGGTTCAGTTGTCCAGAGCTGGTTTTAAAGGAAGCTTACATTTCCTGGTTATTTTCAGCATTAATGAGTCTGTTGGTTTGTTTTGTTGCCTTAGATCAAATACACCTCTGCAGGAAAGGAGAACTTACAGAAGTTCAGTGTGGTTACAGACACTCCTGTCTATGTGACTGCAGTGCAGAGTGCAGCAAATGCCAGTGAGGTGAGTCCTCCAGCTTCTTCCACTCAGGCTTTCCCCCCTGCTCCTGAGAACTGAAACAACCAAACCTGTCATCTTCCAGGTGAAATACAAGGAAGAGTTCCAAAGGACTAAGGACAAGTATACACCTGTGGCTGACACAGTGGAAGCTGAGAGAGTTCACAATTTGAAGGATCTCTATAGCAATGTAAGTGTTTCTGTATGTTTTTTATCCCTTGATGAGCTGCTGTGTGGGATTTTTGTTCTGTTTGGTTTGTTCTTTGTTCACTCTGAAGAGAAACACCCAAACAAGATGCTTAGCAAGGCCATGGACAACCCTTTGTCCTGCTTGAGCATGGGGGAGGTGATGTATTGAGGGCCCATCAGCGCTGTAGTTCCAGTCTTGTCCAAACACGTGCATTAACAAATGGATTCCTTGATTCAAATCACACCTGAACAGAATTAATACCAGCTATGGACAGTTAGAAAGCATTTTTGTCACCCTCTGTGTGCACTGTCAATGTTAAACTAGTGTACAGCCTCTTGATAGGAATTCAAAGCTACTTAACACTAACAGTTGCATAAATAAAACCAAAAGAGCTTCTGATTTCTGTTGGTTGTTGGTTGTTATTTAGGGGAATTACTTTTCCACTCACACAGACTTTGTGTTTCCCCACAGAACCTCTACAAGAAAGCCTGGGACAAAGTGAAGGCCACGGGCTACGTGATGCCCTCGGACGCTGTGGCCTTGGCGCGTGCCAAGGAGCTGAAGCACAATGCCAGTGCTGTAAGTCAGTTAAATACTTTATTCTCTATCAGATCAGCCATTCTACAGTGAACTCCTTCATGCCTTGCCTATGCTGTAGGAATAAGCAAGTTTTATATAATTTAACTGTTTATCTCTTTTTAATTGAGATCTTATGTCAGTGGATAACCAGTTTCCTGTGATAATCACTTGGGTAACAGTTAGTCCTTTGTGGCTTTTTTGTCATGGAAAATAAGTCACATAGTATAGTAATCAAAACTGTTTGTTGGAAATGTCTTCTTAGGGTTATTTAGTCTAAACTCCATGAGCATCCAGGTCAGAAATAGACCAAAAGTCTTTAAATGATGCTCTAAGAAGTGTAGAAGAACATAATCTTATGCTTTACTGAGCTGAGGATTATGAGTGATCACTCCATGGATCCCTGTGAGTGAAAGAACTGGAACAATAAATATCTTATTCTACATAAGTTTATTTTGAAAGTCTTCTAGACAGCTGCTGTTTTCACAACATGACTGTTAGTCTGTGCTTTCTTTGTTACTCAAGAAGCCCAAGCTCCTGCTTTAAACCCTTTCCCTGCTTGTTGGATTTGACTAAATATTTTGTTTACAGATGAATTTAGTTCCAAACCCACAATTGACACATTGGAGTCAGTTACTTCTTGTATTTCTTTGCTTCTGCTTAGGTAAAGTACCGTGAAGAGTATGACAAGTTTAAAGCACTTTACACTCTCCCCAGAGGTGTTGAGGATGATCCCAACACAGAACGGTGCCTTAGGGTTGGAAAGCTCAACATTGATGTAAGTGTGAGGTTTGGGTATGTGTTTTCCTGATGTATTTATCTCAGAAGAAGCTACTCAAAGAATCCCCATGCCTTGATCCAGATGTCCCTTTTCCACATGCATTTGGCAGTGTTCAGTAGACACCTATGAATGTCTTTCCAACTTGTGACTCAGCTGTTGTCTTTCCTTCATGGCCAAACATCTAGTGTAGTACAGAAAAAACTACATTCTGCCTCCTTTTAACTCAGCAGCACCATGAAAATTTAACAAGTCATGTTTTCTCCCCCTTGCTGAGGTTCTGCAAATTATTCTTTGAGCAGACAACATGTACATTTCAGCCACAGCCCAAGTGATTGTTCTCCCACCAGCATTCCATGATTTCCTCCAAATTTGCCAACATTTTGTGCCTCAGTGTTGTTGATGTCCTGCTTTTAACTCTGCAGAGACTGTACAAAGAAGCCTATGAAAAGACCAAAGCCAAAGTGCACACTGTGCCAGACATGGTAGACATCATCTCTGCCAAGGATGCCCAGAAGAAGATCAGCGAGGTGGATTACCGCACGCTGCCAAGGATGCCCAGAAGAAGATCAGTGAGGTGGATTACCGTACACGTCTCCACGAGTGGATCTGTCTGCCAGACCTGCAAGTCAATGCCCACGTTAGGAAAGTCACTGATCAGCTCAGTGATGTAAGTTCATGTGTTTGTGCCTCGCTTTTGAAAAGGTTCTTCCATTTAGGCTCTGCTAGTGGAAATGATTTAGCTGGAGCACTCTGAAGTTGCCACTTGACTCTGTAGTGTGTCTTTGTAGCACTTGGCAATAAATGAGTAGTTGAGATGAGGCTTAGTTGCATAGAATCAGAGATTCCGAGACTGGTTTGGGTTGGAAGGACCTTAAAGCTCATCCCATCCCACCCCTGCCCTGGGCAGGGACACCTCCCACCAATCCAGGGTGCTCCAAGCCCCATCCAACCTTGAACACCTCTAGGAATGGGGAATTCACAACCTTTTTGGGCAACAATTTCAATGGTTTCAATGTCATCAGTTTAGTCCTTGGGCCATAACATTACAGTCCTACCAGTTCAGCCACTCCTGTCTGTAAATTTGACTTTTATGTTGTTGTGTTGCTGTATTGGGTGTGAAAATGTTGGAAGTCTGAGACTGATTTAGCAATAAGGGGCTAGTTCCTAGTAGTATTCTTACAGCTTGCTGCTTTGCTCTGATGCCTTAGGTGATCTACAAGGATGATCTTAACTGGCTGAAAGGCATTGGCTGCTTTGTGTGGGACACTCCGGAGATTCTCCATGCCAAACAGGCCTACGACCTGCGCAGTGACGTGAGTGGACACACTGGGTTTGCTGCTCAGGTTGTTTCTCACTCCATTGTAGCTTTATCCTACTCCAGATGTAATCTGGAAAACATTATATATCCTTCTTGACTGAAGACTTCATTAAATAACCAGACATAATATCAATGCATTTTCTCTTCAATGCTGGTTCACTCGTAGAACAGCTCATTGGCAAAATAAATAGGAGATATGGTAGTACAATAAATTCAATTAGCAATAATTTGCCTTACTAATTAGAGCTCCTGCATTTCTCTCTGCAGATCAAGTACAAGTCTAAGGCAGAAAAAATGAAGAAAGACTTCACTGTGGTCACAGACACTCCTGTCTACGTCCAGAATGTCCTCAGTGCCTTGAATTTAAGTGAGGTGAGTGTTTTGTGGCACCTTCCACCCCAAGATTGACGAAATGGGACTTTTAAAGTTCTTCTAAGAACTTAATGTGAGTAATGTAATCATTGCTGGTTATCTACAACTCGTTGCAGGCACAATCATTAATGGCCTGAACCAAAACATTTGCATCCAGGTTTCTAGGAGAACTTCCTGTGGTATGCAAACAGTTCATACTGTGAGAGAACATGGCTTCCCTCCCCCAGGCTGTCTATCGTGGTGATTACAGGAAGAATGTTCAAGGCAAAATGATTCCTACTGATAAAACAGTCGATTTGGAGAGAGCTTATAATGCAAACAAAATCCAGAGTGAGGTGAGCATAAAACTTTGGTGTCAACAGTTTCTCATATCCAAAAATTCAATTCCTTCAGTGCTAGTGTCTGTCTTTAGCCTTTCAGATCAAGCTATGTCACTGCTCTAAGATGCAGGTAGGAAAATATCCTCATATAAGCTCCAAGGATGCATTTTAATGCGGCCGTGGGGAAAATCTTTTGTGATTAAGAGATTTCTGAGATGAAGAGGTTTTGCCCTCAGATATTACAGACAGCTGTCACAGACTCTTTCTCCCTTCTCTTGCAGAACTTGTATCGCTGGGCTGGTCTGAGTGCTCTCCCCACTGGATACAGCCTTCCCACAGATACTCCAAACTTCCAGCATGCCAAACATGTCCAATACATTGGCAGTGATGTAAGTCGTGGGCTAAGTCTTTCTGCACTGTGGGAATGTTTGGTGCCCATCCCAACTGTTTGAGGCAGTTCTGTCTCAGACATGAGATTGTTTGGCACAGAGCAACCAGAGTGGGAGAGTTCCATGTGGATGCCTGAGCCAGAAGCTGAGGGTGACCATGGTAGTGGCCTCATCATCCAGGGTGAGGTCCCACCACACTTGAATGGGGTGGGCAGAGCAGAGTGCTGAAAATAGTCCTAGATAAGGTGAGGCACCAGCACCAAGGTCTATCCAGGGGGATCCAGAAAGGATCTGTGTCACTGGCCACATGAGAAAGATGTAGTGCATTTAACTCTGATATAACCACATCTCATTTGTTTGCCTCTCAAAATGTGTCTTTGTACAGCATGAATTGCTGTCAGAACTGCAGTGTAAGTAGAATCACAGCCAAATTTAACTCCTTCAACTTTTTATGGTTTTTCCCCCTTTCTAGCTGAAATACAAAGAAGCCTATGAACACATGAAAGCTAAGGGCTATACTCTGGGCCCTCAAGATGTTGGGTTTGAAAACGTGAAGAAAGTGAACCAAGTCATTAATGAGGTACAGTAAAGATGTATTTGCTTTCAGTTGTATTTGCAGTGCCCAAAACATGAATGATGGGAGTGCATTGAGTGGAAAGTTGTGGGTTCCTTGTTCTTTGAGGCTTTTAAAAGTAGTTTAGATAAATATCCTTGAGGAATGGGAAGGGATCATTGATCCAGGCTAAAACTGGCTATATATAATATGCAAATCCATTCCAGCCAAATTTTATTAGCTGATTTCCTCAGTGATTAAAATTGAATACAAATATTGTATCTGTATGATATTGGATCTGAAAAGGTTTAGGTTTGAAATATATGTATATCAACTAGTAAGTAATGTATTTACTCAGTTCCATGATCATTGGCCTTAATAGGATGAAAAATAAACACACACATTTACATGTTCATAGGATTAGAGTCTGAGGTTCTCCATGTGTCAGAAATGTTGAAACCCATTGTGGAAGATCTTTGTCTGGTCAGAAAATATCTAAGAAGCATTTAAACTGTGCCAAACTGCCCTGCCAGTGTTGTATGATGTAATGTTGTCTCTCTTGTTGCAGAGGTTGTATCGGGCAACATACCACAAGAACAAGGACAAGATCCACACGACTTCGGACACACCTGAAATCCGCCAAGTCAGGGCGACCCAGGAAGCTGTCAGTGATGTATGTGTCCTCCTGGCAGAGCAGGCACAAGAGGATTAGGTTACTCAGCATGGCCAAACATGTGAAATGCTGTTTCTTTGTCTTTCAGCTGATCTACAAGTCAGATTTCTTCAAGATGCAGGGACACTTGATCTCCCTGCCCTACACTCCTCACGTGCTGCACTGCCGCTATGCTGGGGACATCAGCAGCGACGTAAGCACCTCCTGCTCATAGTCCTGAATGCAACAGGCCTAGTGCTTCTCTGCTGAATCATGGGATTTTAGGGGTTGGAATGGAGTTTAGAGCTCATCCAGCCCCAACCCCTGCCCTGGGCAGGGACACCTCCCACCAGAGCAGGTTGCTCAAGGCTCATCCAACCTGGCTGTGAACACTGCCAGGGTTGGGGCAGCCACAGCCTCCCTGGGCAACCTGGGACAGTGTCTCACCACCCTCACAGGATAAAACCTCCTCCTAATATCTAATCTAAATTTCCCTCTTTCAATTTCTCCCCATTCCTCCTTGTCCTGTCACTGCAGTTCCTAACCACGTCCCTCTGCAGTTTCCCTGGAGCCCCTTCAGATCCTGGAAAAGCTGCTCTGAAATCTCCACACAACCTTCTCCAGGTTGAACAGCCCCAACTTCCTCAGCCTGTCCTCATAGGGGAGATGCTCCAATCCTCTTAGCAACTTTGTGTCCCTCCTCTGGCCTTGCTCCAACAGTTCCATGTCCTCCTTACCTTAGGAGCACCCAGAAGTGGGATTTGGCTTCTATCATTTCCGTTCCATTCTGTAACAGATAAATGCTTTGTCACTGTGTTTAGGGACTGATAATGATCCCAAAAGTCAACTGTTGGTTTTGATTTTTCTACTTGCCTCACAGAATAAATACAAAGAGGATCTGAGGTGGCTGAAGGGCTTGGGCTGCTTCCTGTATGACACTCCTGACATGGTCCGTGCTCGTGATCTGCGCAAACTCTGGGTAAGAGTTTTCTTCTGGAACCATAGATTGATTTCTGTGCATGCAGTGAGTGAAATACATGAAAATGAGCAAAGATCTATGACAGAACTTCATGCAGCTGATTAGTTGTTTCAAAGCACTGTTAGCTTACACTAAAATTTCCTTCACTGCCAAGAACACGAAAAGCTTCCTAAGTAATTCTGCTTTTCCTTTCCAGTCTAATTATATCTACACTAGTACTGCAAAGAAGATGTGGCCTAAAGTCAATTTGGTGTTGGATACTCCTGGATACAGAGCAGTTCAGGAGCTCAAAACCCATTTGAGTGAAGTAAGTTCTGTGTTGGTTTTGCTATAATTAGCCTCTCTCTGACATAGGTGAGATGTTGTAATTGCAAAGCTGTGACTGCTCAGCTGCTAAATGAACATGTGTAACAGAAGAAATAATTCCTGGCCCTGTCTCTTTCCAGCTGGTTTACAGAGCTGCAGGCAACCAGCTGAAGACAAAATACACTTCCATCCTTGACACACCCGACTTGATCAGAGCCAAGGAAGGACAAAAGATCCAGAGCCAGGTGAGAAATTTCTGCTGATTAAAAGACAATCAGGAGATGCCTCTTAATGCACTGTTCAATACAGCAAAATCTCTCCAAGCCATTTCAAAGCACTGCAGAATCCCTAGGGAAATTGTGTGGCTGTGTAGACATCATGAACTTACAGACATTTTTCAGAGGCATAAGGCAGAATTTACTTGAAATGGACATGTTTTTGATTGTTTTCTTCTGGCTGCAGTACCTGTATGTGGAACTTGCCACCAAGGAGAGACCACACCACCATGCTGATAGCCACACTCAAGCCTTTACACACGCCAGGCATGTCAAGGACCTGATCAGTGAGGTAAAGCATCTGGGGTTTTGAATTTGGTACCACAGTGTAATCTGAGTGATAATTTCAAGGCTCAAATCTGTCTGCCCTTCATTTAGCTTTCTGTCTCTTATGCTTAAGTCCCACAAATGCTTTGAAGATGGAAGATCTGACTGTTTCCTTTTGCTGTCTCCCTTAGAAAAAGTACAAAACTCAGTATGAGAAGATGAAGGACAAGTACACACCTGTCCCTGACACCCCAGTGCTGATCAGAGCCAAGAGAGCATACCTGAATGCCAGTGATGTATGTACTCCAAAACGGTCCCTCTGCTGCTTTTCCTTGCTTTCCTTACAGAAAGAACAGAAAAAGATCCATGGGGAGCAAAATGCAAAGCATAGAATGTCTCAGGGTGGGTCATAAATGAGGTCCCTCCATTTGCATGGTTATTTCCTCTGGGTATGATGGAGATTACTAAGTCCTGTGGCACAGTGATGTTTTGGCCCCAGTGTGAAACTGAATTGGGTGAAATTTTCTCTAATTTTCACCATAAGTCTCAGTTGAATTGCAGTTCATTGAGGGCAACTGGAGCTGCTTAAAATTCCTCATAACTACATTAGAGTGTTGAACAGCCACACATCCCTGGATGGCATTAGAAATTTAGTTCAGTCAAGAAATTAAATCAAGAAATTAAGAAACCTAACTAAAGAATTAAGAAATTAATTTCTTTAAGACATTTGACCAAAGAAATTTAACTAAAATGAAGATACTGAACAAAACCAATTCCTGACAGATTAACATATGGTTCTGTGGGTTGTTTTCCTCACCAGCTGCGCTACAAAGAGACCTTTGAGAACACAAAGGGCAAGTACCACACAGTGAAAGATGCTCTGGACATTGTCTATCACAGGAAGGTCACTGATGACATCAGCAGTGTAAGTACACAAGGTGTTCATTCCTAGTCAGTGTCTGCCATTTAATAACTGAGAACGAGCCATTTGTGCTTTTATTCCATTTAAATGTGTCAAACTCTAAGAAAAATAATATCAGCACTGTAAGTATGAACTTCTTTGCTTCTGTGGAATATTAGGCACTTGTTTGCCTGTGATGTTACAAAGATAAAGGCAAGTTCATCTCATTTCTACTCTTTTAGCACTGATGTTTCAGGAAAAACAAACCCTGCATGGTCTAGAGTCTTCTCTGGAATGGTTTTACTTGATTCTTCCATTTGTTTACAGGTGAAATATAAGGAGAATTACATGAGCCAGTTAGGGATCTGGAGATCCATCCCAGACCGACCAGAGCATTTCCATCACCGCCTGGTCACCGATGCCATCAGTGATGTGAGTTCTGACAGTTCCTGCAGGGCATGGGCTGAGGTTTGCATAGTGAAACCCAAACCTCCTTCCCTGAGGAAAGGGAAGCTGGGTGGGATGTTTTAAGTGATTTGCACCTACACCTGGCAGACTTGTGATATAACAGAGCGAGCCAAACAGCTCAAATCACAGCCCATATCCCTTTCTAATTAACAGAGCAGTCTTCATTTCACTTGCCTTTGCTTAATTTATTGGCACTTTTAACAACCTTTAATTGTACATATCTACTTATACAATAACCCTTAATTGTACAGCAATAAAAGCATTTTAATTCCCACAGGAACCCCAATAGCTGATATGGGTAAGGCATGTGAATAACCTGAGTCCATCAGAAAAGTATGAGAAACTCATGAGTTTACTCATGGAATGATAATGGATGTAGGTCTGTTTTGCCATACCTCGTGTTGAGGTGCTTGAAACTGACTCCTTTCCTTCTCTTCTAAAGGTGAAATACAAGGAGGACTTAGCATGGATCAGAGGCATTGGCTGCTACGCGTGGGATACTCCAACTTTTGCCCTGGCAGAACAGAATAAAGTGCTCTACAGTGGGGTGAGTAAACAGCCTGGATTGCTGCTCAATGTCTTTCTGACAGGTCCTTTTATTGGAGATCAATTTTTCACAGGAGAACCCAATTCTGACTAGACATTACTATGAATAACTCATGGCAGAACTCAATGTATGTGATATAAAATGTCGCTTCTTGCTACAAAAGAAAGGCAAAATGACATTTTACTGTTCCTTTACTGTACTCCTTGCCAAGCTCTCAGTTTCACAGTAATTCTTCTAGTCAAGCTTTAAAATGATGGAGATTTGAGATTCCCATTGCTTTCTTGGTGTGACAATGCCATCCTGCAAACTCCAACATTAACACTTTGTTGTTTGTAGTTCAGTTAAACACACACAAGCAAGAATTCCATCACGGTTTTGCAGGTTGTTTCTAACATCATGTTTTCCTTGCCTTGCCTTTCCTTGGGTTAACATTGGGGTGTTTCTTTGGCTCTGTTTTCCTCCAGTGCAAGTACAAGGAGATGTTTGAGAAGACCAAGTCTCAGTTCAAGTACGTGGCTGACTCTCCAATTAACGAGCACTTTAAATATGCAACTCAGCTGATGGATGGGGTAAGTGCTAAAGAGTCCTCCAGTCTCATGCTCAAGCAGGAAGTTGGAGGTTGATCTTCCCTGTTCTCAAAGATGTCCTATGATGAGGCTAAAATCAGGAAAGACAAGGCTTGTTCCATGAATTTGTCACTGCAAAGGAGCTTTTCCTTTGCTGCCTGGTAAAGAAATGCTAATCCAATGCTGCTGGTGCAGTAACACTGGGGGTTGGTTTCCATCTGCAAAAGGAACAGAGAGAATTACAGTTGATTTCCTGAAACACTGATTTAAAGAACAGTGTTAGGAAGACACTATTATGCCTGAAGTTGCCATAGCTCCTTCCATTTCAGGTGTTTTACCTGGAATTCTCCCACTCCACTACTTCCTTGTTCTTGTTTTTCCCCTGTTGTGCTAAGGAGACAATAGGCACAACCCAATAGCAAAGAGGTTAAAAATGCCCCTGGGTTAAGACTAAAATATCCCCATGAGTTTCTAGTGGTGCCATAGACCCACAGGGCAAAGTCCTGGGAGATGCCCATGGCCTTGGAGCTGGAACACCACACCAAACTGAGCCTTTCCCTAAAGCAACAGTTGTTTAGGCTCAGTAAATGTGTTACAGTATTTCCTGCCCTAGGTAAGTTGTTTCACAGCAAATACCAGAACTTGTCATGGAAGTCTGTTCAGTTTTCTGATTGTTCAGTAGAGAAAATAAGGAAAAACTTAATATCAAGGATAGAAATTAATATTAGCAATGAGCTCCAGACATTGAAATCAACTTCCTTAAGTGTCTTGTGTTATAGAAATAATTGTTTTTTAACGGGATTATAGTTTGTGCTTACAAAAATGAGATCTAACATTGTGCTTCACTCCCACATCTCACTGTGTTCCCTCTGCCCTCAAGACTCTACAGCAGCACAGAGCTGCTGCAGCAAGGTTTTGTGAAGAGCTGGAAGGGATGGAATACAGACACACTGAAGCTCAGCCCTTCCACTGGCACTTTAGAAATGCTTGTACTGTTTGGGAAGGTTTTTTTTCTGTTTTATTTTTCATTTACTTTTATGCTTTGAATTTTAATTTTACTTTATTTTATTTGACTTTATTTTGGTTTTATTTGACTTTATTTTATTTTTCTTTGTTTACTTTTTTCTATATTTTATTTTTACATTGCTTTTTATTTTCTTTTTTAAATTTTTTATTTATTTCTTTTTCTTCTTGCCTCTCCTTCCTCCTCTCTTTCTCTTTCCTCCTCTCTTTCTCTTTCCTCCTCTCTTTCTCTTTCCTCCTCTCTTTCTCTTTCCTCCTCTCTTTCTCTTTCCTCCTCTCTTTCTCTTTCCTCCTCTCTTTCTCTTTCCTCCTCTCTTTCTCTTTCCTCCTCTCTTTCTCTTTCCTCCTCTCTTTCTCTTTCCTCCTCTCTTTCTCTTTCCTCCTCTCTTTCTCTTTCCTCCTCTCTTTCTCTTTCCTCCTCTCTTTCTCTTTCCTCCTCTCTTTCTCTTTCCTCCTCTCTTTCTCTTTCCTCCTCTCTTTCTCTTTCCTCCTCTCTTTCTCTTTCCTCCTCTCTTTCTCTTTCCTCCTCTCTTTCTCTTTCCTCCTCTCCTTTCGTTTTTTTATTTTCACTGAGTGTTTTTCTCCTGCCCCTGGCCCTCAGCCCCAGCCTGTAGCAGCCCATGCAAAGAGCTTTCCATGGTTAGCACTGTGATCTCTTTGTCTTCACTCTCTCTGTGATACTCGGTTAACTGTGAGCAGAAGCTGTACAAAGCTGCCTATGAGAAGCTCAAAGATAGGTACAGCGTCATTGTGGATGACCCTAAGAACCTCCTGGCCAAGTGGGGGAGCAGACTGAGCAGTCAGGTACCACAGGGGCCCAGCAGTGCCTGGTTCCTCTCCGTGTCCATGTCTCCAGCCCAGCAGTATCACAGGTCCCACCTGGGATATTGCCATGTCCCTCCAGCTGACCAGGTGTCGTCGTTCTGCCACCCAAAAAGGAGTGTCACTTTTTGTGTGAGCTCAGCTGTACTGTATGTACTTTCACTACTGTGCATCAACTGGCATCACATCTCTCATCCCTCCTGGAAGCCACTGGAGAGGGTTTAAAATGTGCAGTGTCAAGCTTTTATGCTTCAATACCTCTCTTTAATGGCCTTTGCCAAGATCATCATCTTACTCCTTTCTAGACAAAGCAACAATGATGTGTTTGGCTTTTGAGTGTCCTAAAAGATCTAGAATTCATCTATAACCTCGACTTAATCTAGAATTAATCTATCATCTATAATTTAAATCTGTAGTCTATAATTTCAACCTAAAATCTATAATTTTGACCTATAAATTATAGTTTCAACCTATAAACTATAGTTTCGACCTATAATTTATCTCTCCCCAAATCCATCCTTTCCTGACTGGGCATTCAAACCTCCCCATACCCTCCTGGCAGTGTAGCTGACCCAGATGGGAGTTGTATGCACATGTGAACGAATACATACAGTACCCTGCCTACATCTCTCCACTCTCCAAGTGTCTGGGATCTAGAGCTGTGTCGTTGGTCATGGTGTTCACAAGTCTCTCTTGTACTCCGTTGCCGTTTGCATGAACAGAAAAGCTATAAGTCAGTGGCCAAGATGCTCCAGGAACGTGGATGTAATGAAATTCTGAGGCCAGATATGCTGACAGCTCTCTACAACACACACTTTTGGAGCCAGGTAATACAAAGAGCTGCTGCTGTAGGAGACACTGTAGGTAGAATTTAGCTGCTTGGACTTCTACTCTTTCCTGCTTCCCTCTGGAATCCAAAGCTTTGCCATTGTGCTCAGTGCTGGCTGTGGTAAAATACTTCTGGAAACAGAATATCTGAAACTATTTATTTGGCATCACTCAGCTCAGGCTGATCTTGTCTCCATTATCAATTTATTTGGCATACTTGACATAAAAAGCAATTTTCCACCCATTTCAGATATTGTATGTTAGCTGTTCCTGCTGTTCCCTAACCCAGTTCTCATCTGCCACCACTTCTTGGGCTGACCAATTCCCCACCAGGAGTTCCTTCATTCAGGAACACGATGAGGTGATCTGCCAAGTAGATCACAACATTTGCCTCCCACTCTGCCCAGAGTGGTGGCAGATTCAGAACACAGTCATTTCTGCTCTGAAATCACAGCTGCTAGCAGTAACCTTGCCCTCCTCAGTGGTACTAAAGGATTCCTGACCGTGATGAAAGTAGCATACAAATTCCAAGCTGGAAATGAAACAGTAGGAACCAGTTCCATGAGAGGGAGAAGGATGTTATTCTTTGTTACTGTTAGCACAGACAAAAACATTTTTGAGTCATAAGTTGCTTAGGTCTGTACTAGACATTTTTTGTCCAGTATCTCTGTGGATTTATCTCATTAGAAAGCTCCTTGCAGGTAACTCTATGTTTGAACCAAAAGAAGTGCTCTGCCTCTTCTGCATGTTCACCTGAGTTGACTTCATGTTGCATTGGTTGTTTGTGTATAGGTTTCTATTCTTTGTCTGTCCAGCCCTGTGTCCAAAGCATGGGGTGATTTTCTGTTGGAAGGTACAGCATGGATGTTCTTCCTTAAGGATGTGTTCTAACCTCTCCCAGCTGCCCACAGTGAATTCCTACCCCTGTATGCAGCCTGTTCTCAGTGAAAACAGGTTGAGAGGCCTCAAGTAGGACAAGGTGATCTCCAGGAAAGACATTATCAGGACACAGATCCTGCGGCCAAAGCCTTTGGAATGTGCTGGCATTGTGAGCTATTCAGTGGATCTGTTTGTCTTTGGTTGTGTGAGGTGTTTTACATTTCTCCTCATTCTGACCACAGGATCAGTAAGGTTGGGAAAGACCTCCAGGGTCATCAGCTCCAACCTGAGACTGATTATAACGAGGATTTAAAAATGAGATATTGCCCAGTTATGAAATTTAACAGTCACAGATTACAAACTGGAAATGCAACTGCAGAAAACAATTCCACGAGACAGAGAAGGATGTTATTCCTTGTTACTATTAGCACAGTATGTAACATTCTTCAGTCATAAGTCACTGAAAGTCTGTACTAGACATTCTTTGATCCATTTCTCCGTGGATTTCTGTTATCTTTCAGCTCAATCCTGGAGTTTTTAGCTTGTAACAAGTGTAAAATTAATCAGGCAAATAGGCAACCTGTTAGGCAGTGAAGGGTTTGCAAAGTTGAGCTCATTGTGCATGTTCAGCTTTCCTTGGCTTTGTGGAAGGATTTGCAGTTCTGTGGATGTCTATAATTATATCTCTCAATTACATCTGTCTTGGTCTAACTTAGAGTCTTTCCCCACCACCAGATTCAATACAAAAAGGACTATGAAAAGAAGAAAGACAAGTACACGACAGTTCTGGATACTCCAGAATACTTAAGGACCACGAAAGTCAACAAACAGATCAGTGATGTAAGTGTGGTTGGTCCCTTTGTCACATCTCCTCCTGCTCTGCTCCGTGACCGTCCGAGCGGAACAACCACCCCCAGGGTTTTCCCCTTGCCCATTGTACAATGTTTCTCCAGCTGGCACCAAGAATGCCAAGAAATGATCTAATCCAAAGCTTTTCTCTTCAGATTGTTTACAAACTGGAATACAACAAAGCCAAGCCCAAGGGCTACACCACCATCCAGGACACGCCGATGCTGCTGCACGTGCGCAAAGTCAAGGACAGGATCAGCGATGTGAGTACCTCAGCCTTGGCTGTGGCACCAAAAAGCCACAGAAGTCACTTCTTTCTTTGTTATCCAATGTTTTTTACACTGTCAGTCAATATTAGCTTCTTGTTGGAGCATATTGGCTTTGTTTGCCTGGAAAACTCTCTCTGCATTTGATGCTGTTTCAAAAAAACTCAGTTTTTCAGGCAGTTTTGTCATGTCACATTGTTCTGTTGTAACATATTTGCTAGGATAGAGCAGCCCTCACTGGTCACCAAAGCCATGAGCTGGAACTGGGCTATGATCAACTCATGAATTTGGGGAATTTGTTTCTGGGTTTTTTTCTTCCAGTGGCTTTTTTGAGCCCTGAATAAAATACTTGGTACATGACTGTATTACTGATCCTTATGTGGACATTGTGAATATGTAAAGTAAATATTCTGATCTAAAATACATATGTGTTTTGATTTTGGGGCAGTGAAAGGGTGAAAAGGAGAGAGGAAGACAAATTGGGTAGAATAATATAGGGTTTAGGAGTCCTAATTCTTCTTCCTACGTTAGGTTTCCTCTCTGACCTCTGTATTGTGGTTCCTTAGGGATTGGTAAATAAAATGAGGACACTAACACTGCTGTAACTCAGTACTGTCAGAATAAGTAGCCTGAATGTCATTCAGATACTATGTGTATTATCTTCATAATTAGGAAATCTGGGAGGGAAAAACAACCATATTATCCAGACACTAACATGGCTAATTGAGCCACAGAGATGCTCATAAGTGATCTGTGAGCTGAAGGACATTTTTAAGTTCCAGACTGAGTGCTGAGGTTCTGTGAAGGATTTTCAGAAAGCACTGAACGTGCCTAGCAGAAAAAAAGTTCTTTTAAATCATTTCTTTTAGCTGCAAATAAAGAGAAACAGGAAGAATTCCTGTTGGTGTGTAGGTTTTGTTAGATCTTAGTCTGTGCTTCGTGGTGAGCTAAAACTGCTACGTTCAAAGAGGATTTCTTCTGGGGAGGATCCTCCAAATCAACTGATATCAAGGTGTATTGATGAAATTTCTTTTTCAAAAACTCAGAGTCCTTTAGGTTGGAAAAGACCTCCAAGGTCATTAAGTCCAACCTCTGACCACCTTGGCCACTAGAGCAGAGCACTGAGTGCCACATCCTGTCGTTCCCTTCTACTAACATTTTATCCTGACAGGAGCAATTCGAAAACTATATTTTTCATATTTTGATGCTTTTCTTGTAGCTGAGGATATTATCTCTGTACACACTGTTTATGTTTGCCTTTCCTTAGCTGAAATACAAAGAGATGTACGAGAGGAGCAAATCTCGCTGCAATGTCATAGCAGACTCTGTTCACATCAAGACTCCAAGACATGCTTACAAGCTAAACAGCAATGTGAGTTCTGTTTTGTTCATGCTTTAAGTTTGTTGTGCAGAGTGTCTGGGACTGGCAGTAAAGGCCATGAGAAGTTAGTTTCAGTTCCATTGAATTTTTGAGCTTCTAACTGCTTCTAATTTTTAGGCCATTGGAATAAAGTGTGTTTTCATTTAATTTGTACTAAAGTTCTCACTATTGCAAGTTGCTGTTGAGGTCACTTGAGGCCCATGGATGTCACACATCAACTGTTTTTTTAGTCACCCTCTGTTTCCTGACAGACACATAACTGTCCCAGGAATTCCCTGGGGTGATGTTCTTGCACAAAGCAAGAGCTTCATGGGAAGCTTTCCTATGTATTCTGTTCCTGGTGGCCCAACACCCACCCAATAGACCAGGAACTACAAGGTCTCACCTTCTTCAAGGTCACAGAATCACTCAGGTTGGCAAAGGCCTAGGAGACCATCAAGTCCAACCTATGACCTAATACCACCATGAGAACTAGACCATGACACTGAGTGCCACGTCCAGTCTGTCCTTAAACACCTGCAGGGATGGTGACTCCACCACCTCCCTGGGCAGCACATTCCAGTGTGTAATCCATGGGCAGTCCATGCCACATCTAGTCATGACCTCTTTTCAGCCATTCATCTTCCTTTCTCCACCTGGCAGTGGCACAGCTGGAGGAAAGGGACTCCCACTGGATTGTGCTTGGTTCAGAGGAAAACCCTGGTCTGAGGGGGATGCACTTTCTTACCTCTTATCTCTTGGACTGGTACAGACCAAAAGAGAATTGGCATCTGTATGTCATGTGTAAAGTGCACAACTTCCAATTAACTTCTGTTTTGTTTGGTTTCTCCCTGTTTCCAGCTGGATTATAAGAAGAAATACGAAGCAGCCAAGGCCCACTGGCACCTGATTGCTGACATGCCTGACTTTGTCCAAGCAGCCAAGTCCTCTCTGCAGCAGAGTGATGTAAGAGAACCAGAACAAACTGAACATTCCCTTTGTCCACAGTCCTTGTGTCCCGAATTTGAAACAAGTGTAGGAGATCTGAGACTCTTTGTTTTTTCTTTTCCCTTCCCACAGTATGAATACAAACTGGACAGGGAATTCCTGAAGGGATGCAAACTCTCTGTCACAGATGATAAGAACACAGTGTTGGCCTTAAACAATGCCATCTTGGCCAGTGATGTAAGTGCCTGAACTCACTTTTCCTCCCTAAGCAAGGCAAGTTCTGGTTTGGAGACCTGGTTGGATTGAGAGTGAAGCTTTGAGCAGTTGTCTCACTTCATTATTTGAATTCACCTGATTATTTCATTAACTAATTGACAAAATTTGAATAAATTTGGTCTTGTAAATGTCACTAAGTTAATGGATTAAATTAATATCCAAAGTTAATGTTGCTTGAACCCCCAAAACTTATACCCACTTGTATCTCTGTGTTCCTGGTATTAAAATGGAAATATCTGGGGAAAACAGCTAAAAGATCTGAAGGTTTAATTTGTGCACGACACAAATTATCTCTAATAACTGCTAACAATAGTTAATATTCAATATATGAATTAGATTCCAGGTGAGAACTACAGGAATGTGGAGACCAGAATGAATTTTCCTTGTGAGGCATCAAAATATGGGATTTTCTTCAAATTTTGCACTAACAAGCAAACCCAACTACAATAATCACTTTTTAATCTGCCCCAAGACAAGGCACACATTGCTTAAAATGAGATCTTTCCTCCCTCCTAGATAAAATACAAAGAGAAGCACAACAAAGCCCGAGGAACGTACCACGTCGTCCCCGACACACCTCAGATCCTCCTGGCCAAGAACGTCAGTTCTCTTGTCTCTGAGGTAAACCAGCAGCACTTCCTTGGGTTTCTAGGTTCATTTAGTCCTTGTAATGTTGGGCAAGGGTTGCATTGCTGGTTTTCACCTGGCCTTGTGCTGTGCTTTCAGAACAAGTACAAGGAGCACAGCAAGAAGCAGCTCCCACACGGCTCTTTCACCACTCTGCCTGAGACACGAGACACTGTTCACGTCAAAGAGGTGACCAAGAATGTCAGTGAGGTGAGTGACCTGTGTGGGAACAGTTCATGGTGAGGGTGTCTCCAAATGACAAACTGGTGTGATCCAAAGTGCCAATCGTGACACGCAAACTGTGGATCACACGTTTGGTGGCTGAAGTCACTGCATTTTGTCTGTCTTCAGCAGTGTCAAGGAGCTGTTTCCAGGTTTCAGGAGGACTTACCTCCAGGTGAAATTAAAAATTGACACCTGGTCCTTTTTGCTCTTACCAGACAAACTATAAGAAGAAGTTTGTGAAGGAGAAAGGCAAGTCTAACTATTCTGTCATGCTGGAGCCTCCTGAAGTCAAGCATGCCATGGAAGTGGCTAAAAACCAGAGTACAGTGAGTTTGCCTTTTCTTTCTGTTGATTAAGTAGTTTATATAAGCAAATTCAGTCAAACTCTTCTGGCCAAACCAAAGTTCACCTCTTTGTGAATTCCCTCCATGTTTGGGTGTGATTCTGAAAGATAAAGGTACAAATACTTACAGATGTCAAATTGCACTGAAATGAAGGGTTTGTATCTCATTCCATGGTGGGATTTAACGTGATCTGGTACTAATCACACCTAATACTGTTGTTAATTCCCTCAAATACAGTTAATTCCCTCAAATTCCCAGTCAGAATTGCTCATGCTTATTTCCTCACTGGTAGACAAAGAGATTCCCAGGGCCATTCCTGGTGAAACTCTTTCCATAATAAGCCCATGCACTTCCTCAGCCGCATTGCTATCTCCTTACTCAGTGCATTCCTCACAGATAAAACTCAGTCATTTTCTTGCCTCTCTCTTTCCTCATGGATTAGATTCAATACAAGAAGGATGCCAAGTCAAAGCTGCACTACACACCTATAGCAGATCGGCCAGACATTAAGAAAGCAACTCAGGCTGCTAAGTTAATTAGCAATGTAAGTCACTTTAAGTCTTCTGTGTAATTCTATAGCATCAGTTTTACTGTTAAACCCTTTGCCAGTAGAATAATTAAAAGGCAATGTCATCACTACTGAACTTTTCATGTTAAACCTATGGGATGAGGTTTCACAAGGCCAAGT